ATTCCAAGTTGGAAAATTGGGAAAGATCTGTCTAGCCCAAGGTTAGGTAACCTGCTGGCCCTGCCCTTCTCCAGTTATTTTAATGAGCAAAGACAAGCAAGACAGTTGACTTACTTAATCTGCTTTTTCTCTTTGCTAAGGGTGCTGTGGCAGTTAATTATGTCCTCAATAGATACTTCTGCAGTTCAGAGACTTACCATGAAAACATCAGTTTACCTTGTTTTCCCACGCAGATGCACTGGGACACATTTGGCAGTCAGAAATACCCATTTGGAACTATCAACTTTCAACTTTCAACTTTCAATGGATTGCACACTAAGTCCTAACATCCACAAATTTACCTTTACAACAACCTGTAGCACAATCTGATCACATCAAAAGTGCTATGTTGTGCCCCGGTAGCTCACCTAGCAGAGCGCCTGCCTCTTGTACTAAAGCTGAGTCCTTACCGCAGTGGCTCCGCTTCTCTGCTGCACGTCGTCCCCTTTCTCTCTTCCCCCTTTAATATCTCTCCTAAGCTGTCACTATTAGATCCACATTTTAAAGAAAGACAACTGCTACACTGAAAACCTTGTTAAGTGCATCCCTGTACCCATCAAGGAGAACACACAGGCAAACACGTATCACCGTTTCCATGTTGAATTTTTTCTCCATTCTCACACTGAGTCACTTGCAGCCGCTTGATATGTCTTGGTGACATTTAAACTATTAATACACTAATAAGAAACACAGAAAGGCACCGGTAAAACAGGACTACTTCTACAGTGCAAGTTGTACAACAAATATTATTTTTCATGTCACCCTGCTCACAGCCTTTGGTCACCAAGTGCATTTGAAGAGCATTCGACTTCCAGACCAACCGTCACTAATGAACCTCTGAGATGACAATGTTGGATAATGCTTACTTGCCAACAATAATGTAATTGCATTTATATCCTGATAAAAGGTTGCCTAATAAAGACAGTTATGTTCATCTGCAGCAGGGGGCCTGCCGTGAATCTGCTGAGTGAATCGGTGTGTTGCAGGAGGGGAATAATTGGCTGGGGGAGACAGGGAGATCCAATGCAAGCATATTCTGTCCCGACTGCTTGTGCTGCACATACTAATTGGGTGCCTTTCCTTGGCTTGAAGGTAATGAAACTGCCGTTATCATAACAGGCGAAGCAAAGTTCATTATTTATATCCAAATGCAGTGGAGTGTGAGGGCTGGGAGGGGTTTTCTGTGTATGTCCTGCAGCTCCAATCTTTAATTCACATCTTTTATACTGTATAACGCACATTATTGGCCATATTCAGATGAAAAATATCTCTTTATGATGAAAGGATCACACTCATTGATCCATTATTGGTTGCTTTGTTTTGTGCTTTGGAAAACGGAGTAATATTTAAGATTACAGTGCATTCATTTGTCCTGGTGGTGTCTCAGACTCACCCATTTCTTGAAAGAAGTATCCATTCTTGGACATCCCAGAGGGAGGCGCCTCTGCAAGGGAGAGCAAAACAGAGAAAGACAGTAATCACTGAGGTGAAACTAGGCAGTAACAGGCCCTAGAGGGGGCCATTTTCATTTTGAAATGAGATTATTTGTTATTATTTTTACACAGTAATTGTGGGTATGAGAGATGTTAACAAATACAAATATGAGCCATTATCAGACCTTTGCTGGTCATTTAGTGTCTGTGCATTTAAATGGATTTAAGAGCTCACAAAACTGTGATTCATTCACTGACTCATGTGACCAATGTATCTGCTCCCTATTGGCCATCATCACCATTAATGCCACTCACATTATTTGAAATTGCCCTCAAGAAGACACTTATAATCATTTATTTGCTCTAACACTACCAACACAACATGACCATCACTGCCTTCTCAAATAGCTACAAAGCGATTTTGTTGGCTTAGAAATTGACTTGGTTATGGTTACGGAAAGATCTGAACTGAACTGTCGGCCTCAGGTCAAATTCTGCCATTTTGTTGACCCGTCCATCCGCCTCGACCTCCTCCCTTTGTGGCTTTATAACGTCACGGTATTTTCTCTCATGCTCCCAGCTAATCATTTCTGTGGCTGCTGGAGCTCGTTGTTACTGGAACATAAATATCTGTTGTTCTTTGGCATTGGCTGAAGCTATTTTTGTTGTTATTTCTCACACATATGTTGTTCACATATGTTGTTCTGGGTCTTATATGCTCCTACAGCAGACACCAGTAATGTACAGTATGCACAACACAGTTATGATATTCCTCATTAAAATTCCAAGGAGAGATGGAAGATGTAGTTATTCCTCAACTGTCTGTACTGTTTACTGGCAGGTTGTGAAACCTATGAACAATATAATTATTCTTATACGTTCGCTCATTGGGCAAACTCTATTGCCTCTGGAACTCCCTCAACGGCCCCTGGGGGTCCCTGGATCCCAGGTTGAGAACCACTGCTCCGTGCTATATTAGCTACCCTGAGATGTCCATTGTTCAACCTGTTGCTCTGATTGATTTGAACATTTAAATAATGCAAAGCCTTGACACCCTCAAGTGCAAACCTCGACAGAGATTTGTGAATTTGCTAACAGAGACAGAAAATGAGCTGGTAAACAGCGAATGGACTATTTCGACTGTGTAATACAGGTCTGGTAAGTAAAACATTCCCTCCTTGGGGCTATAGTTGTCAAAGACACTCTGAGTAAGAGCGAGCACAAACTGGGCAGTCCTGTAGTTCAACCGGAAATGGGAAAAATGCAAGTGCTTCATTCCTATCATGTTCATTAGGTAAAAGACATGTCAACAGGCTATGGTTATATGCAGTACACTCACATTCATCAGCAAAGGTCTTGACTTCACTCATACATTCAGAGATAATCCATAGAGAGTTTTGCTCCCAGGAAGGAAATCGTTTTGCAATGGTGGGGTGCAGCATTTTTAAAATGGTGGATATCTCATTTTGGAATTAAACTTAATCTGGTGAAGAGCGCCACTACAAATACACAGAGAGGGAATTTAGAGTACGACATTTCAGAGTGTTTGTCACGCGGCCCTGTGGATGCGTGCAGCATGCGGATGGCACAGAAAGACGAGGCAGATATGGAGAGGGGATACTTTGAAGGTTATTGAGACATTGTGGGCTGAAGGGAGGGGGCCGCTGCGCTACCAGACTTCAGTGAGGCTTTTCTTGAGCATTAAGCCAATATGTTTACATATTCATCCTATAACCAAAGATCAACAGCATGCCTCGGGGGGCATTTCCCTGCCTTGACTGCTAAAATCACAGTCATTCCAGACAAAGGGGCACAGACTGGTATACAAAAAACCTATATACCTGTAGAAGCACATACACAAACACTGTCCTCTGAAACTATGCGAAACCTCAAAAGAAAAGGGACGTCAATATACACGATGTCTCCTCCGTCAAGGGTTCTTTGATGTGACAAAGCCTAGAATACAAATGCAATATACAATTTTAATTATACAAAATGTTCCTTCACTCTCGGGGTTTAACGCAGAGAGGAAATAACAACTCAAGAGTAAAAGAACCGGGGAATCATTTATCCCCACAACAATTAGCTTCTTTAATCTACACAAGTAATGATGTAGCTGCTTGGGTCTGTAATAGGTATTTGCATTTTGTACGAAGTCTTTTTCTGTTAAAGCTGCAGTAGTTAACTTATAAAAATGTCTGAGAAAGACAGTTGTCTCAACAATCAACAGCCTTTCTTGGCTCTGACTGGTTGTTTTCGTTCAAGCACGGTGGCTTCTTACAAATGCCATTCGGAGCACAAGGAGGAGCCACAGGAAATTGATTTTTTTCACTCATGATTTGTCTCATGTGCTGTCAAGATACAGTAAACATTTCAGCATATATATTACAAAAAGTCATTTTTATGATAGTCAATTACTGCAGCTTCAAGTGTCCCTCTCTGGCTCTTTGACTCTTGTTTGGACAGTTAATAATAGCTTGATTATTCATGTATTTTTATATCTTGTGTGCAACCCAAATCTTCCCTGTCGACAATTTTAAAGCAACTGTTTGACATTTTAGGGAAAGTGAGCTTAACTTGATTTAGCACAAAGATTGTAACTGAGGGGGAACAGCTAGCTGGGCTCTGTCCAGCACCTCTAAAGCTCACTAATTAACGCTTTAAATCTGATCATCATCATTAATCTGTACAAAAATTCAACTAAAATGACAGGTTAGGGTTTTAAGGTTGAGATTATGTGCCTAACCTTTCTTGGCAGGGAGCAGTGAGGACAAGACTTAAGGAAGTCACTGCTAGCAGCCAAACAGGCACTGAAACTTTGGTACGGATTAAAAAAATTAGATAGAAAGTGGAGATTATTGTTCACACTTGGACAGAGCCAGGCTCAGTCTGTGCACAGTGCTAAGCTACCCATCTCCTGGATCTAGCTTCATATTTAATGGACAAATATGAGAGTGGTATTGATCTTCTCATTTAACTCTTGGCAACAAAGAGAATGTGCACATTTCCAAAAATGTCAAATTAGGCCTTTAAAGGAAAAGGAAGCCATTTTTAATGAATTGAAATAGCTTACCTGATAAATGACATTACATGATTTAGGAGCATAATGTAAAGACCTCTGGAGGGATTAGGAAAGCTTTGTCTAATTACAATTCTTCTATACTGTTTCACTGTTGATTCTACGCTATTGGTTGTAAGATTCAGTTTGTCAAATGCTTTTAAGAAGAAGAGAGAAACAACTCGTCCCTGCCTGAAACTGAACTGAAATGAGATGAAATGGAATATATTGATTTATTAGCCCAATGTGGCGACCTTCAAGACCGTCAGTCTGAGTGGTTACTATAATGGAAAAAGAGTGTGAAATGTCAACCACCTGTGAGTCTCTCACAGGTACATTCTTAATTTTAGCTGAGAATTCTTTACTTGAAGCTTTGTGATATTGTTACACTATAAAGGAACACGCTGTTATTCTTTCTACAAAAAATTAGTACTCCTTACTAAAGCTGAGGGGAAATGCTACCAGGTGAGTTTTCACGTGGAATTATAAGAATGAAAACAAAATATTTTGAGGTTGTAGATCTTTCTGATTTTTGATAAGAGTTACCAGAAGGGAGTTAAACAAACTCCCGTGTGTTTGTTGCCCCCGACCCGGCTTCCTCGACTATCAAAATAAAAGAAATATGAATCAGTTCTTCTCATCTGAGTTGTCGTGTTAACACAAATATTTCTCCTATGAGCATAAAGGATATACAGCAATGCGTAGTGTTATTTTACCTCACCAACAAAATCAGTTCTACTGTCTGTTTAGTCATTTTTATTTGTGCAGCTAAATAAACTAAAGTAATCACTCACAGTTCAGCAGCCTGAGGCCCAGCCACAGTTCTTGCACTATGTGCACTCTAGCCCAATACAACTGTTTTTGCTTTGGCTCGTCTTGACACACACAAACACACTCTGTGCTATAATAAATGTAATAACATAATTATTATTGCTGTTATTATTATGATTATTAAGCCTCTTTCAGACAAGCACTTTTTTAAATAAACTTTAAATCTAACTTTTACACGTCAGTCTCATGTATAAATACGTAGATGAGCGACTTGTACATACTCAATCTAACTTGTTTGGGCCTAGTTTCCATTACACTTCCAATACAACACGGGTCTGAACTGAATGCTTTCCCATTAACGTAAAGGCTGCAGCAGCACAAAGTTAAATAAATTGAGAGATTAAATGCACATCATGTTCTGCTTTATTAAAAGTACTGTAATAAATGTACCACTCAGTTATCATCTCTTATGCATCAGTTTAATAAACCAATAAATACTCAATGAGCCAGTTTTACAGTAAGATGCTGAGGCGATTCTTCTGTAAGATCAGTCAATAATTCTCCTTGCAATATGGAAAAAGTGGTACACAAAACCAACTTGTATAACCACAATAATAAATGAAGCTTGCAACTATTGATTATTTTCACTGTATAGTTACTTTTTCTATTAACTGTTTAGTCCAAGAAATGATAAAATATTGTGAAAGAAATGCCTTTCCAAAAACAAAAGATATTCAGTTTACGTTTGAGAAGCAATGCCCAAAAACTGTTTGGCACTTTTCCTTGAAAAATGACTCCGTCAAAATAGCTGCTGATTATTTTTTGTCTCACATGAAAACTAATGGTTTCTACTCTAACATAAGCATAGCAGCACTCCCGCTTTCTGCTGGCTGAGACTAACATGACCCTCACCGTCCACTGTTCCTATCGTGACCTAAACAAATGAAATCAAAGCAGCTTACTACCATTTGTCGCTTTCTACACAATGTGTGGATATGTTTTTGCCGTAATAAACATCAGCGTTTGCCTGTGTTAGGCCACAAAAAAGAAAACATGAAGACAGAGAGAAAAGTCACGGAGGTCTGAGTTTCTGTAAGATATCAGAACGAGGCAGGAGCCCCGAGGTTCAGGCTACAATATGAAGCGTAAACGTTCTGAAAGGCTTAAGGCATTATTTTTGTT